AGACGTGCTATCACGTCACTTCATGCAAAACACAACGCCATTTCTGAGGTCATTCAACCATACAATGCTTTCACGGTGTGCAGTAATCTGCACGGTGTTTGGTTGCAGTAATCGTCAAGGAAAATGCCCGAACACCGTAACGTTTCATCAGTAAGTTACATTTCTATTAACAAGTCTTCATCCAACAAGGTGATTACTACCAGAATCAACCTGTTCTGATGAAAAATGATTAATAGTCTGGCATTTAAACATAGACATGGTATTCACAGAAATGTCAGAATTGTGTTGAAAAGCTTATATAACCATTTCTACATCCACCTAACGCAGTTAAAACCACAAGCAGTTGAATCAGCAAATGCTCAAAATGGCGCCAAAGCAAAACTCGTACTGAGTTGCTCACCTCACGGCATGTACGCACACGACCAGCATGTCTTCTGAAAGCAGAGCTCTCACACGCTCTAAAACTGCACGTTTCATTCCAGTCCAACCAGGATTCACTGAATCACAAGCAAACAAAGACCAGAATTATGTCTAGAGTTTGAGAAATATAATCAGAAACCCCATCTTACCTTTGCTGTATTGCCTTCAAATCATAAATCCATACCAAGAATTAATAGATGAAGGTTTTCTAAAGCTTTGGTAAAATGAGAATTTGAGTCAATATGTTGTTATTAAACCACTATTTTGATATAATCAAACTCTTAGTTAACAGTATCTCCACCATCAGGCAGAAACGTGTTGCAAGATTATACTCCTCTCATCTTAAAAAAGCCTGTTCGTCAGAAGCTGACTAATCTGATTCTGTTCAAAGGCCAGTCTATAGTCCCTTCTTTCTACTCACAATCCAAATCACAGTTGGTATTTTATTGACATCATCAATCTCATCATAGCTAAAGCATGTCCTTCCTTTGGTCACTCCTCATTTTAAGGTGTCTGGACTGGGATAGAACAGTGACAGCAATGCCTCTGCCAGCTTCTTGCAGATGTTGGATGTTGTCTACCATGGTGCTCTAAGATTCATAACTGGTTGTAACTATCGTAGCCATCACTGTACCCTGTACTCCTTGGTCAGTTGGTCATCATTATCTACACGTAGGCTCTCACACTGGTTCAGTTTCATTTATAAATCTCTCCTTGGTCTGCTGCCTTCTTATAACTCCTCCCACTTGTCATGCCGACAGTGCAGTTACAACATGCGCTCTCAGGACATCATTACCTGCAGCGTTCCTTCAATGCAGAATGAACTTGGCAAAAAGGCCTTTTCCTACTCAGCTCCTGCAACCTGGAACACCTTGCAACAAGAACTGAAGCTGTCCACCTTAATTTCTTTAAGGGGTTTCAAACATTTTATAATGTCAATAAAAAAGTCAAAGCAGATATGTTCTTGTTTTTAGTATTTCGCCCTGATTCACAGCACCTTGATTTATTGTTTAATACAGTACTCTTGTTCTTTACTGCATTTTTACTGTAGTTTATTGTTATCATTGTTTGCTGTTTTGTTGCCTGTACTTTATATGTTCTGTCTGGAACAGGTCTCTCTTGAATATAAACGCAAACGGACTGTACTTATATAGCGCCTTTCTGTCTTATTTCAAGATACTCAAAGCGCTTTACACTACAATCTGTGTCCTCATTTACCCATTCATACAGCACTCTACTAGATCTCTACAAAGCTAATTGAACTAATCATTCTAAAGAGACTAATCGGTGCTTTAGATCACATTCATACACTGATGGGACACACATGAGAGGCTATGAGGGGTTCAGTGTTTTGCCCAGGGACACTTCAGCATGTGACTGCTGGTGGATTCGAACCCCCAACTCTAACATTGGAGGACGACTGCTCTAACCACTCAGCCACAGCCGCCCCGATGAGTATGTATATGAGTCCTCGTGGCTCATTGAGACTAACATGTATAAATAAAGGTTGATTGAAATCCTGTTTTACAGTATGCTGATAATGAATGAACCATCTGCAACAGACCTTAAACTCTGCTCATTTATTTCACTCCATTAAAAAAATATACATACACATTAAATTGATTACTGTACTTGCTTTTAGTTTTAAAACACCTATCACTGTTTTTATTATTCATAATGCTTTTTATTTTTTATTACAAATGTTTATTCTCAATATTGAGAAAGCTCAATGGATGAGAAGAAAAATGTCTTCAGCTACAGAATAGAAGTCCAGTTATTTTTGTGTTTAATCTTTTTTCTGGATCTCCTTTATCATGTGAACAGCTAGTTCTGGATGTCACCAGCAAACTGGCTGATCCTCTTAAAGGTGCTATTTATAAGATTGAGTTTGTTGCAGCTCCTCAGACTGAAGAAGTCTTTAGAATGTAAGAGAAAATATTTCAACAAGAAGAATCTGTCCAGAGGACCTGACTTAACCTGGTTAGAGTAAGATCTGGCATTTCATTGATCACTGAGTAAAACAATATTCTCACCAGTAGGCCAGGATATATTGGTGGGAAAAAACACTTGCATTAAAAGCTACAGTCTGTTAGCATAAGGCTAGTGCAGATTCTCAGGCATTCGGGCTTTAGTTGCTGTTTCTTTTGTTAGCTCACACAAAACATTTGTTTTATGCTGGATACACTTCCTGATACAATCTGGGCTTGAACCTGCTGCTTCAAGAATACAGGACCACAGCACTGACCGCTGAGGTACCGCCACCACATTCAGGACATGGTATTTCTAGCAGACTGAATCAAAGTAAACAGATGTTTAGCTTCTTGTCTTCGGATGAGAAGAAAACAAAGAAACTCAGTTTACTTTGATTCATTTAGCTTTGTGTGTTAGCTTCTAGTCACAGAAGGCATTAGGATGCAGCAATGAATGTGGGCAAAACAAGTTCCACTGCACCCCATGTGTTAGCTGGTATAACATTTAGCTGTTGCTAGTTCTGGCATTCTCACTCGGTGTTATTTTTGCACCCAAATGAAAAAGATAAAATCCAAAAAGTTGTCTTTGAGGCATGGTTGTTAAAGCAACTTGGGAGGGAAACATGTTTTTATAGACATTCTTTTGTAGATGCAGGGGGTAATGAAAAAGCTGCTTATATAACTTGGGGGCGGGGGGGCAAATGAATAATTGTTTCAATATGTATACAACTGCACCAGCAGTCTCAACAGAATTGCCCTCTCTTGTAAACAAAAAACTTGTATTTAAATTTGAAAATGTCACCATAATCCAGCATTTATTTGTTCACCACATTAGTTGGTAAGAGTTCATTGTAGCCAGTGGAAGTAAAAAAGACACCCAAAGTGATCGTGTGAAATATAAGAAAGGAAAGTCCTGGTGCAAAATAAAACTTGAGCACGTTTTGAAAATAAATATTAATAAATGGTAAATTAACACTTCTCTGACCTTGATTTTATACGTGTCAGAATTGGCATTTGATTTCCACGTGGCTTATCCTTTCTCTGTTGACAGCTCGACGACACTTGGACATGGATGCCAGCAGGTCTGTTGCAACATCACAGCAAAAGACTTTCTGTGCAATATAAAGCTGTGAAACATTTCCAAATTTATCACCACGAGACAAAGTATTATAAGTGGTATTTTTATAGAAGGGATTGAAGTAGGAAGTTGAGACGTCAGTCCCTGGAGGGTGAGTTAAGCCATAACCTTATCAGGAGTTTAGACTGCAACGTCTTGTTTTCTCCAGTTAGTTGGAACCAGCTAAAAAAAAAAAAAAACAGAGAATATTCTTTTAAATAAATATTTGAGTATATCTTATGACTAATGTGCAATTTTCAGTAATGAGTGGTGTGCTAACATTATATACTACCATAAAAATAAAGTTTAGGTGATAAAATACAAGTTTGGTCAGTTTAAATTGAGGATTGATGGAAGACTATGGTGACGATGAGGTATTCCAGCTATGCATGTCAAAGCAGCAACAGGATTAAGGTCATCGCTCATCCACTGCCCTTCTCACTCATTCTCCTCCTCTTAAGTGTTTTCTTTTCTTCTCTATCCTTTGTTTCCCATTTTTCATCCAAACCTTTGACACTGCGCCTCTTAATAAGACAGAGTGTAAGAAGTGTAAGAAAAATCTTGAGAAAACAGAAAGTAGACTTGGGTTTTCTGTCAGCAGATTTATACAATTTGGACCACAAACGTGGGTGGTCAGTGCATTGACAAACTGTTATTATCTGTTTAGGTTTAGTTGGATGACCCCCTACTGAACTGTGAAAGTGCACGGGAGACAAGAAAGAAGGAGGACCCAGTGTTGGAGGGTGGCAGAATGAATAATAGAAATGGAGGGTTGGAGTAAACAGAAATGGAGGACAGAGAAGACAGATAGGAGAGAAAAAAAGGTATAAAAACAAAAAGTGCTTTAGAAGACGACGCTTACTCAGGTTTACCTTGGAAACACAAGTACAGGAAACTATGAAGGGTGTGAGCTAACTGGAGTTCATCACAATCTCCAGACACCGATGAACAAGAGGAGGGAGGTACAGGGGAGGTTGTCCCACATGTACAGCGACCAACACACTCCTCACATACTGGGGGTGGGGTGGGGGGGTAGATATAAAAGGACAACAAAGGCAACAGAGTGGTCAGCGTCCGAGTGGCTGTTCTGCTCTTCTCCACTCTTCTTATAGTGTCTCAGTCAGCTTGTGACAAAAACACTGAAGACTGTGAGGTAGAAACTTTCTTTATATCTTGGAAGATAAAAAGTAATTACGTCTAACTCAATGCGAGAAGTTTAGGGCTTTCTGAAGACCCAAACTTTTATTTTATTTTGGGGGTTTTGAGCTGGCAACAACTGGCTAACAATTTTTTTTCTCCAAATAGGGACAACTTTTTGCGAGGACTTTTGAGATTTTTCAAATATTCTGAGCTGCTGATCACTGATAGTATCTCTCTACAAGTGGATCTGTGGTAGAATGGAAGGAGCATTTTTTCTTGATATGGACTACAATGAAACAGATGTGGAGGAGCACTTTTATTTTGAAAACAGTATTGACAGTTTTGGGATCACTATGGCTATTCTCTATTTGGTGGTCTGCATCATGGGAGTGGCAGGGAATTCTCTTGTCATCGTAGCTATTTTGAAACTGGATAAAATGTCATCTTCCACAACAGTCTACATTTTCAATCTGGCTCTGGCTGATGGACTCTTCATGATCGGCCTCCCCTTTATCGCAAGCCAGAACATTCAGAGCCAGTGGGTGTTTGGAGATGCTGTGTGCAAAGTGGTCATGGTCCTGGATGGCATCAACCAGTTCACCAGTGTCTTCTGCCTGACAGTGATGAGCATTGATCGCTACATGGTGCTGGCAGAGCCGCTTCGATTCACCCGCTGGAGAACGCCACGCTGTGCCAAGATTGTTTCGGTCTTCTTGTGGCTCTTTTCGCTCCTCTCTATTCTCCCTATGGCGCTTCATTTCTCAGTGAACCATGGCATGTGCAGCCCTGTCTTTGTTTCCTATGCCTGGTACCTTGGAGTGCTCTCGTACACCTTCGTCATGGGCTTCGCTTTACCATTTGTCATCATGACTGTCTCTTACACTGCGATGTTAGTCACCTTGCGGTCCCAGCAGCTCCAATCTCCTATGCCAAACCACGAGGGTCATCGGGTGGAGCAACAAGTCACCAAAATGGTTGTAGCAGTAGTGGCTGTTTTTGCCATGTGCTGGCTGCCGTTTTACACCATGAACTTTTGTTCCCTGCATCAAAGTAGTCTAGTTTCGCCCGTCTTTGCCAGGGCTTTTGAATTCCTAGTCTTGTTGTCGTATTCGTGGAGCTGTGCTAACCCCATCCTGTATGCCTGCCTCTCTGACACTTTCAGGAAGTATTTCTGCACCCTGCTCTGCCCAGTAGCAAAGGCATCTACCAGCATGCATTGCAATACTGAGCGGTATGACCTAAATGAAACAAGTATCGGGGATGTCACGGTTCTAGCTTGAAGAACAGGTCCTAACTTTCCTTTTTACTTCATATCTTATGTATGATCATTTGAAATTCTTAAAAACAATTACTCTGATGCTTTTTTAACATTATGAATCAATTATTGTGTTTTTTGTCCACTCCACCTGGAATGTATTTAATGAACATTTTCCACAAGAATAAGTTTGTAGATATTTTCTTGCAGTTATGTTATTCTTAGTTATTAATCATGTAAATTGCTTTCAGTTTGACTGTGTAAGCCATACATTTTCTTTATTGTGTCAAATTTAAGTGACTGATCAAGCATCTGCAGAGATGGACTTTTCTGCCACCTTGGTTGATTGCACACTTTACAACATCTGTCCAGACTGTAAATATTTCTGCCAAGCTGAAAGGTTTATCCAAGATATGTACTTTTAGAAAATAGTGTTGCTTTACATGAAACATATGCATTTTTATCATTTGTACATTTATATTGAAACATCATGTATTTAGAACATAAATATCTACTTCCTCCTTTGTGTCTGTCTCCTTAAATTTTCAGGAATTATTCTAAACCTGGCATATCTGGCTTTTCAGCAAGGTTGAGAAAATGTAGTGTATACAGAATTAAAGTGGTCATCTACGTTTGGGTCATCACCACCAGACACATGTTAATGCATACATGCATGGAAAATAACATCATCACAACTCCCACAGCTGGATCAAATCCAGAGGTTAGGAGCTGATAGTAGGCAAGCAGTTCAGTGTTTATGTGACCATGTGGGCAGTTTTACAGGCACTTTTATGTCAAGTCACAACTTTATCACAATGTTCTGTTCAATTAAAAAAAAAACATCTAAACTACTCAAAACTGTTTATTTCCATTGTTAACTTCAGAAACATATATATACATAAACATAAACACACACATATATATATATATATATATATATA